AAAAACTGCCCAAGTAAGCTGCTTCATTTGCTACAAATGTAACCATTTGTCTGAGTTCTTGTCATTCCTGTAATTGGATTAACAGCATGCTTGTGTTGGTGTCAATAGTTGCTCTGTTATTTAAACAATTCATTTTAGATGTAACTGCAGATCTGTATTGACTCTGACATCTACATCAGCCTCATTCTCAAGTATCTCTATGCTGTTTGCTTTTCTGGGGGAATTATATAGAATATAATGTTTTCCTTCTCTAATGGATGAAAGCAAACTGTTTCTTTCCATGATAGTGTTTCTTGAACGCTTTTATTCTGTTCCAAGTGTCTGTCCTTCATTTGGTAAGGCCTTTAAATTTTCGTTTCTTTTCTCTTGCAGTTCTCAGTTAGTAAATGCTGAAGTTGTATAAGAAAGAATATGCAGGAGTGGGCAAGAGTAACTTTACAAAGTTTCTTTTTGAGTACGCAAAAACAGTTTATTCTCCTATTGTTTTTATTTATTAGTTATTGAATGATGATGATTATTATTAACCTGCTTTTGCTCACCTCTGTATTGGAAGCTATCTCCACTCCTATAACTGGTTCAAATATTTTAATTACTTTCCCAGATAACTCTGGTAATCCTCTCTCTTTCCCCACGCACACAAACACATACACAGGACACACACACACGTACATGAGTGTACACACATGCAAAAAATATTTTTATTTGGCCTAAATTACTAAATCAATCATTGGCGCCATTCCTTCCATAGAAGGAAGTTGAAGATCAAGGTCCCCTATGAGCTATGGGTGGGCAGATAACAACTCCATTTGACTCTCTCCCCTTTTTACGGGATATTAGCCTCCATTTCTAACAAACCAGGGTCGTGCGGTGTCCAATGACTCACCAGTTGAGCACTGCACCCTTCCAAGGGCTCAGCTCTCTGGAAGATGTTAGTTCCTGAAACAGCAGATACACTTGCCAGCATAATGCCTCTTTTGTTCTTGGAGATCACGGTGTGGTGTGATGGCCTAGATGAGCATTCTTACTCCTATATTTCTCATAACTGAATGAAAAGGCAATCAGAAACTGGGAAATCTTTATCGTAATTATGCCAGACCCATGGTTACAATGTTTATTTTGACATAACAAGTTCACGCAAATCAATACAAGAACATAAGAACAAAATTGTTTGTGGGGGAAATCAACAGACAACTATAAAAGTAGTCAGTGTGAGCGAAGATCAAGGTTTAACTTTTGGGAACTCTTTAGAAACGATTTTGGCGATTCGCTTCAGTATCCTTACAACTGATCGCAGCTTTGGAAGGAGCAATCACCATCCTAAAACCACATTTTAGGCAAAAACCACTGGTGGGCATTTCCAGTCAGGGCACGTGCCCGGGTTGCAGGCGCCAGGCCCCTGAGAGGCAACACATCAGTGTTTCTCTCCCTCTCTTTCTCCCTCCCTTCCCCTCTAAAACCTAAATCGATGAAAAGTCTTAAAAAAAAAAGGTAGAGAGGAGCAGATTAGCATCAATAATTAGTTAAAAAAGTCACCTACAAACTGTTCCTGAGATTTAATGTCACTGAGATAGTCAAATCAGTTCAGAATAACCATACAAAGTGAATGTAATGTATTCATACAGCTTCACCTTAAGGGAGATAAGGAACAAGGCAGAAATTTACTGTCTTCATGGCATTAATTCCCATTTCTGACATTTAAATTACTCTTTATTTCTCTATGCCTGTTCCTTGAATTATTCTTGAGTTAATTTGCAAATAGGCTGTTTTTCAAAATGCTTCAATGAATGGGGAAGACATTGCTTTGGTATCTCCCCGACCTAGTGTAATAAAGCTGTCTTTCATCACAAAAACATCAGTAGTTGTTCCTTTATTGAAGGACATTAACACAGAATAGATGGTGGTGTAAGAAAACCAATTAGGGATATATTTTAGGCTTCCCGAATCCCTGAAGAAGAAAAGCTTGCCTACCCCTCTCTCTATTTGCCATTCTATGTAAATTCACTTAAAATTGCTTTTTAAATGTCCCCAAATGTTGATTTTAAAAGCCCTTGATTTTTCAAAAGTACAATTTACCCTTTTGAAAGTTTCAATTCAATCTCGAAGGGATGTAAAGTTATTTAGTCTATATAATGGAAGGCCTTTTTTAATACAAAAATAGCCAGCATCTGATGTTTCCCTTAGTATTCGTCCTAAAACAAAGAAACGAATTAACTCTGACTATTCACTCAGCCTGGTTCTCACAGGTTTAAAATAATTTTTTCAACAATTCAATAAACTACAGAGGTCCAAAGTTTTGATGAGAAATTTAGTGAGAACTCTGATGCCTTTTTTTTTTTTCTGGTGCCAAATGGGAGAACTTTGAAATTGACTTATAAGAGTTAAAGCATTTGGAGTTTATTTTTTAAAATTTCATAGGAATTATATCCTCAGTAGTTGTATGTTTCAGTTAGTTGGGCCTTTTTTTTAGATTTCCAGTGGTAACGGGATTATATCTAACCGCTGACCATGACCCCCTGCGGCCAAGTGAGAGACATTAGCTTTCTCGAGGCTTCGAGAAACCATTTGGAAGGTTACACTTAGTGGGAAGTACACACCCCCTGAGGTGTGTAGGGATGAGTTCATTTCACACGCACAACCAAAGTCTCCCAGGGATTAATGTGATCTTTTGGTTCAATGTAGGATCAAAGTTCTGTGAAACAAAAACTAATTTATTTTTAAAAGTTATTCTACAAAGATGCTTTAATATATGTCAATTATTAGAAGCTTTGTCTAAGACAGGCCCATCAACCAAGCACTTAAAATAACGAAGGAAAGAGTGTGAGACGTGGAAATATCGATGATACTCTAACAGTATAAGTATGAATCTATGTCACACTATGTGAGAAGCAACTGTCTACATAACCATTTTTCAATTATTTCTTCATAGGGTGAGATTTAATAAAAACGGCTTGTTCTTCAATAACTCATCTCTCTTACCAAATACTGTGAATTGGAAAACAAACAAATGGAAGGATAGGATGTATAGATTATGTATTCATTAATTCAACAAGTAATCATGGAATGCTAACTATATTACAGGTAGTGTGATACAACTGGGAATATTCATATCCTCTGTATTGAGTCATTTACTAATACGTTTCTATTCCCTTAAATGAGGCCTTTTATTTATAGGTGACATGGTATTCACTGCATTCCTAGGTATTCCCTTAAAAGATTCTTTTTTTTTCCACTGGGATAAAACTATCACCTATGCATGTAAGATTTATTTGTCCCCCTAACTGTAAATATAATCAGAAAGGCACCAGTATGGATGAAACTCCCTGTACAGAAAAGCCTCCTCAAAATAACATTTAATATGATGGCTTACAATCACAAAAGCAAGGTTTATAATTTTCTTTTTCCTGGGCACATTTGAAATTTGTAGAAGTGATTGTTTTGAAAAGGGAGGGATTGGGGAAATGATACACAAAAAGCATACTTCATTCTTGCACTGCATACTTCATTCTAGACTGATCATTGATGATATAGTTTTACTGGCTTTCACAATTATCTTGTGCTAGGAAATGGACAATAACCTATTTTTGATGCTTTGTCATGGATTTAAGCTTTTTCAGTAGTTTGGCTCTCTCTGGGAAGCCTTAATTATTAGGAACCTATTAAATGTGGTTAAAAAAGAAAACTATAAGTTTGAAAAGCTTCTCAGGTATTTCTGCTTTGCTGGGCCCTAAGAGGTTTGTTTTACCTGTACTTGGGTCTATTTTAATTACTCCTTTTCTTGATACTGGCTAATTTTTGAAAATAGTCCTAATTTAAATACCTAATTTCCCAAAATGTATTAAATGCTTAAACTTCAATATTCTAACTTTCTTGAAATCTTGGACTGATATTGATTCAAAGCATTTGTAAAGGTTTGAGATTAACACTAAGACTGCAGGTGTATAAATTTAAATGAAAACTGGTAATGGGTAAAAAGGAATAGAGTACATAGGGAAAATCATTACCACTGTAATTATTTTAAATCTGTTTTGGAGTTATATCATTTTCATGTATTTTAAAGATTATAATGGCACAGAGCAAGTAGGCCCATAAAGTATGAAAAAAATTATATCCCATTATTTTACTTTTTCTTTGGTTAGTTTATACAAAGACTATATCCTGTTTTTCAAAATTTTGGTACATATATCAATATGATATGTAGTTTTATTTTTCTAGATTTAAGTTTTTACATGCTACAGATATTTTTTCAAGTGCACATAACTAAAAAATGTTTTGAAGTGAGGATGTTCTTCACAGCACTGCTTACAAATGTAGAATGTACTGAAAATGCTATACATTTCATATTCAATGCTGAAGTATTTGGATAGGTTATCGTACACATCCACACATAACATACTATGCAGCCACTAACGTGATGGTACAGATCAATATTTATTGACGTGAAAACATGATCATGTTGAAAATTTTAGCAAAACACATCACAGTACATGAAGTATGTTTTCTTTTTGTTTGTAAAACTGTGCATAAACAGGAAAAAAGGCATAGAAGCATATTACATACAGAAAATATCAATATTAGTTATCTCTGAACTATGGGAATTTTACTGTCCTTATAAATTTTTGCATTGTGTGCATTTGTTACAATCAACAGGTACTATGATTAAAATTTTAAAAAGTGATTTCCATTTGAAAATATCTAATAATGAATATACATGTAATTTATAGATAATTACATAGAAATAGCTTACTCTCCTTATTTTGTGGGCAAATTGCTAACAGAAACGTTAACAAATCATACACTTACATTGAATTTTGTATGGATCTAAAGATTTTTATGTAAAGACATAAAAACTGAGAATACAAACAAAACATTTTCTTATGGTTCCATCTGTGGTGTGAGTGAATCAACATTTTTTAATGAATTATGTAAATGTTACAAAAATTAGGCGTTTATTTCTCTGCTTCAAAATGCATATTGAAAGAAAGCCCGTCCAAAGGAAACAGAAAACTAGGTGTAATATGGATGGATCGTAGACAGGAAGAGCAAGGGAAATCCAGAAAATGCATAGCCGAGAAATGTAACCGTTAACAAAGGACAGAACATTCCGTACCAACTGTCAAGCGACTGCACAGAAAGAGAAGCACAGTGGATTAATAACTCTCATATGATAGATGAGGTCAAGGGACTTGACCTTTTCCTTCACTTTGAAATGTCTGTGAAGATTTTACAGTCTACAAGAGAGAATGACAACTTGAATAGATCCTCTTCAAGTATACATACAAAGGAGTTTAGAAAAATGAGTCATAAGAATGCTCCTGAAAATGGTGTCAAATATCAAATGTGTGAGGAAAAGTTTTTAAGATGAAACGCATAATTGAAATCATTAATGCCTAAGCTGTTCATATGCTTGTGTCACTGGGTATTAAGGTCACAAAGAAAACCCCTGACACTTAGTCATAGTCACTGGTAAGTTTGTGGTATGCCCAAAATGTCTTTGAAAGTGAAAATAATTTAAATAAATAAAGGGAAGAAACAAAGCGTACATCTTTTGAACAGAATAGCCATGTGAAGTAATAATTTAAAGTGAAATTGTGCATCCCATACATGTCCCCTGCACTACTGATTACTGAGAAAGCAAGTGAGGAGTTTGCAGTGTGATAGAATCAGACGGATCAACCATTTTGAGAATCGGAACACAGAAGAAATGAAATGTAGTAGTATTATGGAAAGTAAGGAAAGAAATGTATTCGGTCAGTCACGTCACCCTGACTCATTTCGGAAAACAAATGAGCGGGGGAATGCATTTTATTCTCCATATCCCTAAGAGTAGTACATCCAAAAATAGTACAAAATGACAGTTGTACAGTTAGAAATGATGTTCTTCACTAAAATGAACATGGTTTTCTAGTGTCACTTGTTTCAAAAGAAAGTATTCGCTGTTAAAAAAACACCTGTGAACTGGCATAAAGGAACCTCGTATCACAAGTCACCCGAAGTAAGCAGGCAGCAGCTTAAGGCCGAAACAGACTGAGCAGTCGCTGGTGTTCTCACCACCTGCCCCTGGCCTGGCCCAGGCTCACGTGCAGCGGCCTGGAGCCCAGCACGCGCCCGTTCATCTCATCCACCGCTCTGATAGCGTCCTCAAACGACGAGAAGCACACGACCCCGAAGCCTTTGCCCTGCCCGACTTCCACCATCACTTTGGCGCGGCTGATGGATCCGAAGGCAGAGAACTCCTCCTTCAGTTTCTCATCATCCACGGTCTCGTCCAGGTTTTTCACGTAGATGGGCACCCCGGGGGGCCGGTTCTTGTCCTTGACTTTCAGCCGCTGAAAGCGTCGCCGGAGCTCGGCCAGCCGTTCGATTTTCTTCTGCGCCCGCCCCACGTACAGGACCCTGCCGTCCAGGGGCTTGCCGTGCAGGTCGAGCACGGCCTTCTGCGCCGCCTCGTGCGTCTCGTAGCGCACGAAGCCGAAGCCTTTGGACTTCCCGCTGGCGTCCCTTATGACCTTGACGCTCTCCGTCGGCCCGTACTCGCTGAAAAGGCCCCGGAGCTTCTCGTCGTCCATCTCGTCGCCCAGGTTCTTCACGAACACGTTGGTGAAGATCGCCCGGTCCCTGGTCCTCACCTCGGCCGCCCGCTCCTCCGGGAACTTGAAGCGGCCCACGTACACCTGGCGGTTGTTGAGCCGCACGCCGTTCATGTGCCAGATGGCGCGGTTGGCGGCCGCCACGCTCTCGAAGTGCACGTAGGCGTAGCCCTTGGAGCCGTTGTCGTCGCTCACCACCTTGCACGACAGGATGTTCCCGAAGGCCGAGAACAGGTAGAACAGGGCCCGGTTGTCTATGGACCTGTCCAGGTTTTTGATGAATATGTTCCCCACTCCAGACTTCCTTAGGCGGTCGTCGGGCTGCGACCACATGAGGCGGAAAGGCTTGCCGTTGATCAGATCGAAGTTCATGGTGTTCAGGGCCCACTCGGCGTCGGCGGCAAAGCGGAAGTTCACGTAGCCATAGCCCAGGGGACTGCGGGTCTCGGGGTCGCGGCAGATTCTGGTGAAGCGCAGGGGGCCAGCAGGCCTGAACTTCTTATACAGCATGTCCTCGGTGACATCTGGGTCCAGGTCACCCACGTACAGGGCGGCCTTGAGGTATTTCTTTCTCTTGCCGGCAGGATTGGGCTCCCCACTGCCCATCTCTCGGAGCGCAGAGAGGAGGCCCTCTTGGCAGGGAGAGAAGGATGCTTTCTCAAAGCTACGGGCCCGGCAGCTGTTCGCACACACAAACAGCCAACGGCAGACCCAGTGACACTGTTGAGGCTGAGAAAATGAAGTTCAGAAACCCCTGGTCAGCAGGCTCGGCACAAACGCATCAGACAAAAAGGCATCCCAGTAAGGACTCTCTTCCGCCTAAGGGACTCCGAATTTGCACCCTCTGAGATTTACAGTCGGCTTCCAAAGCCAGCAGGAGCAAAGCCGTTTCCCTTCTGCTGTTAAATCGTAAGAAAGCATCAAGCAGCTGCCCGACTGCCTGCATCTACCACGGCAGATCGAGGCCTCGCGACCCGTTTTCTGCAAAAACACAGGCCTCCAGCTCCTCTTGGCTGCAAATCGCATCCACAGGGGCAGGGGCCGAGCGCGTATTCCTCCGCCGGCCGCCGGGCGGGTCGCCAGCGGGCTCCCGGCTCGCCAAGGCCGCCGCGCGCGCTCGGCGTCCCCGAAAGGGCACCCCGGGCACTTGGCGCGCGGGGCCGGCCGGCTGCACGCGGCGGATCGGACAGAAACACAGACACACAGACACGCGCGCGGGGGCCCGGAGACCGCCCAGATACCCAAGACGCCCACTGGGTACGGACCGAGTGACGCACGCTGATTTCGGCAGCCTGAGACTCGCCGCAGGTCCGGAGGGACTGACTGGCAGGAGCGCACTGGGTCGCCTCCGACGCGAGGCGGGTCCGGACAGATGCGGGGCGGAGTCAGCGGCGAGGGGCAGATGCGCGGCGGGCGGGCGGGCGGGCGGGCGGGCGGGCGGGCGCGGCGCGGACAGACGGCCGGGGGTGGGGGAAAGGTCTCCGCCGGACAGACAGACCCAGGGGCGCAGAGCCTGTCGCGGTGGCAGGGCGGGGCGCGAGGGAACCCGGAACCCTGCTAAGTAACTTCCCACTTCTCGGGGACAACATTCTTAAAAAAGAGAGACAGGAAAATCAAGAAGAAATGAACACGTTTCTTCGATTGATTTACTTATTTGTGGGATTTTAGTTTTTTTTTATTATGTTAAAATCTTCCCATTAGGCTGCTGATCCCAAAATCAGAGGAGATGACGATTTAGGTGGAAAAAAAAAAACAACCCCATAATGTTTAAAAACTAATCCCCTCAACCATGTCTGCTTAGGAAATGGGATTTAAGTTGCATCCTTTTCCTGAGCTCATTGCAAAGGCAGAATTGCTGGCTCTCCGTCCGCTGCTAAAGGGTCACGGGGTGGAAGGAAGTACAGGGCCATGTTGTGCTGGGCCTTTATCCTTACGCCTTTGAACTCCACCATAATGGTCGCATAAGACTTCTTTTCACAGCTCCACTAATACTAATGTTGGAATGACTGGAGAGCCATAAAATGGCTTCTAATGGCACTTAGTGTGCCACTAAAGGTGTGCTACTTCCCTAATCACAAATTACAAAATCTTCCTTCAAAGGATAGCAGTTTCAGAATCAATGCAAAATATATCATGAATGCTCACGGACGAAGCAAACACGTGAAGATACAGGCAGGTTACATAATTAAAAACTCATTTTAACTTGAAAGCCCTGCAGGGAATAATGTTGTAACACAGGGCTTGACTCAAAGCTTTCCCACCAAGATCTCTTTCCTCTGTGAGGCTAGCGTTGCTGGGAAAATTGCTGTGTCTGTAACACGCAAGGCCTCAATGCCCCTTTAACAATTTATCTGCTCAAAAAAAAATTCTGACAATACATACATCAGGACTATTATATATGATTATATATAAGGACTATTGGCTTCTTGCTTAGCTCAGACATGGAAAATATTGGAAGCCCTGGCTGGCATAACTCAGTGGACTGAGCGTGGGCTGCGAACCAAAGCATCACAGGTCGGATTCCCAGTCAGGGCACATGCCTGGGTTGCAGGCCACGGCCCCCAGCAACCGCACATGGATGTTTCTCTCTCTCTCTCTTTCTCCCTCCCTTCCCTCTCTAAAAATAAATAAATGAAATCTTAAAAAAAAGAAAATATTGGAGAAAAGGCAGATACAAATAATATTTTGCAAACTTCTGCTTACTTTACTGTATTTTGATCATTTTCATAAACATCTTTTCTGATAAACTTAATGAACTACAGGCTTTTTAATTAACTTTTGCCTTTTTATTTTTCTCATTTGAAGATCTGCCTTTACTAAAGTGCTATATTAAAAAAACAACGTCAATCTAACTGAATAATTTCCACAGTATTCGTCCTGAATCAAATCAACATTTTATTCATTATGTAACCACCTAAATGTTGTTCATATTGTAATTCATTTGTACATATTTTCCCTAGGATAATAGATTGGGTTCTTGAGAATATTTAGTTTTGAAACAACCTTCCATCTACAGCCTTTGAGGCTCCAAGCAGTTTAAGCGTTCTGAACTCTAGTGAACTTTTAATTATATGAAAAACTTCAACTTACATCTGCTTTGACATACATGAATTTTAGTAAGACTCCCTCTGCTAAACAGAAGCTTGTGGGAGAAGAGAAAGCATTTTCACCTGTAATTTTTGTGATCACTTTAGCATGAAGATTCGGAACGTTCTCTGGAATGAAGTCAAATGAGAACATTTGTCACTTTTATTATATATCAAAGGTATCTTTATAGTCTGTGTAACATATTAAATCCATTAAAGGTCCCCACCCAGATTCCCGAGGCAGTTGGTTGACGCATATCAGAGGAAAGTTGTGATTTACACAGGAAATTTTTTTAACGATTTTATTTATTTATTTTTTAGAGAGGGGGAGGGAGGGAGAAAGAGAGAAAGTAACATCAATGTGTGGTTGCTTCTCATGCGGCCCCCACTGGGGACCTGGCCTGCAACCCAGGCATGTGCCCTGACTGGGAATTGAACCTACACTGCTTTGGTTCACAGCCCGCGCTCAATCCACTGAGCTACGCCAGCCAGGGCAGGAATAATTTTTTTATGCTCAATTGCTAATAAGCCAAATTAACTCATTATTTGATATGTAACCAAAGTTTTTGTATTTTGATTTTAATTTTATTTTGTAAAGAGTAACAAACATTGTAATTTTATTTGGGGGGTGAGGTAGTGTAGGTGCTTTATGTAGTCAAGTCTCTAGCTCTAATTCATACATTTAAAACCCTACAGGATTTATTGAAGGTTAAGAAAAACTCTTCTATAAAAAGTTTAACATTTTTTTCATTTGTCGCATATACTAAATCCATGTTAAATTTTAGAATATATCATGCTTTCAACTGTGAAGAAATCTGAGTATTAAAAACATCAAAAAAATATAGTGACTTTATATACTTACCTCCAGTTAGACGTCTCCTTTCCTTACTTCCTGTGAAGGAAGTCTCCTTTCCTTACTTCCCAACTTTAACATGTGAATTTATGCAGTTGCTGTGTGTTCACAGCCTGTACACCTAGAGTTTTATATAACACATGTGCTGATAGAATCAAAGAATTTCCTGTTATGATACATTGGGATAAGGCAGGAGTATCACCTACTCAGACAAATCTTCCTGCGAAAGTCTGTTTCCCGAACATATGTTTCATACAGAAAAATCACAAAGGCACACTGCCACGCATGAACGAACACACAACACGTTCTCTGATTAAAACTCTTGAGTCATAGCCATTTCACTTGAGCTAGGACAGATATAAACTATTTTTTTAAATAAAAACTTGATGCTTGATGTTTATATTCAAAGTTTTTGTGGCAAAATGTACATAAAATTGACCTTAGCAGTTTTGAGGTGTACAATTCAGCAGCTTTAAGTACATTTACATTGTTGTGCAGACCACATCTTTATTTATGTCTAGATCTTTTTACCTTGCCCAACTGAAGTTCTGTGCCCAATATATGTATGCTTTTAGATGACATAAGCAATACTGTGATAAACATCATAAATCATGGACTCTTATATATTATTGCGCTTATTTTTATTTTTAATTTTGTTTAAAGAAAGCCTTCTTTAAGATTTTATTTATTTATTTTTAGAGAGGGAAGGGAGGGAGAAAGAGAGAGAGCGAGAGAAACATCCATGTGCGGTTGCTGGGGGTCATGGCCTGCAACCCAGGCCTGTGCCCTGACTGGGAATTGAACCTGCGATGCTTTGGTTCGCAGCCCGCGCTATTGCTCTTATTTTTATTGGGTAGACTCTCCAAAGTGGGGATTGAACACTTAAATAGTATGTGTATTGTTAAATGTTAATATATATGGTCAGACTTCAAAAAATGGCTCCATGAGTCTACTTATTTTATCAACACAAAAACTTAGACGAAATGGATAACTCCTAGCAAAACAGGAATTACTACCTTTGATTCAAAGGCAAAGTGGAAGAACATGTGATTTTCAAGACATACGATTTCTATAATTGAGTATTGTCGCATAGTCTTTGAGACAATACATGTGGGTAGGGTTAATACTGTTCAAACTATTTCCAAATCCAAAAGGTTCCCCGAGTGACATTCATAAAATTATCTCCAACATAAAATTCAAGCCGGGCTCACCTTTCCAACCAGAAGAAAGTGATGGTCAGTCCATTCACTTCCAGAGCTTGGGTGTCTATGGACTCCGTGGTGGTAGGAAGAGGCAGGGACCTCCCCCTCCACCGCCCCAACTGTTACATAACAAGGACTGAGAAGGGGGGATGTGATGGGAAGAGAAAGAAAGACTAGACTTCTGGTTTACAAGGTCAGAACAAAGGGAACATATTGTACCTATTGACCCTGACATCTTGGGCTTTTGTCTTTTCTCCTGGACTCCTGCCCATGATTTCTTCCCTGGACTCCACTCGTCTCCCATTTGGCCCTCTTCCCCTTTGTGGCCGCCCTCTAGCTAACCCAGCAGCGTTGTCCCTGCCAAACGACCTGCCTTTTCGGGACGAATTCAAAGGAGGACGGCTTCAGTTTTGTCACTTTTGCCTCCAGGGAAGTTTCAGGCTTAATGTGTTCCAGCACCCACGTGTTCGCATTCTTCCGGCCTCTCTGTTCAGAAATCTAAAACATGGAGAATAGTTCTCCAAAGACAAGAAAAACTGAACGTTCCAATAAGCAGACGATTGAGGGAAATTTTCAGCTTCTCTTCGTGACAGACAAGTTTAAAACTAAAACAATGTAATACTGTTTAATCTGTATCAACTGGAGGATAATAGAGTTAGTTTCTCTTAAAACATCCAACGTCCCCGAATCCCTGCCTTGTGGCTAATGGCACACTAAGTATTCTGTGTGTCCCATTTGTTCTGAAATTATCATCTTTCTGCTTTTGGCCGTTCGGCAATAATCATATTAAGTAGATACTAGATGTACAGAAAGAAATACATTTTCCATGTGGTCTTTGAATTCCTTAGTACTTCTCCTTTTTGCTTATTTATGTACTCCATTTTTGTTACAGCTGACATAGTTTGTTATATTAGTTTCAGAGGTACAGCATAGTGATGTGTCATTTGCTACAATGTGCTCACCACAGCAGGTCTAGTAACCATCTGCACCTTTCAAAGTTACCATGTTATTGAGTACACTTCCTTGCTGGGTATTACCTCCCCGTGGCTTATTTATTTTATAACTGAAGTTTGTGCCTTTTATTCTTCTTCATCTTTTACACCCAGTCTTTGAACGCACTCTGTTCTAGAAACCATGTTTG